GGTCAACCGTATCGAAGGCCTTGCTAAAATCAAGAAGAACTAAGCAGGACAGCTTTCCTTGATCAGCCGCGCTATAAATATCCGATATAGACAGGAGCGCAGTGCTGGTGCTATGTAATGGTCTGAAGCCAGATTGGGAGGTGGTCAGTAAATTATTTTGACAAACAAATGTGTGCAGCTGCTCATGTAGAGCCATTTCCAAAAGCTTAGATAAACTTGGTAAAATGCTTATAGGACGAAGATCAGAAAAACTTGAAGGATAATTAGGTTTAGGCAGAGGGAGAACAAGAGCATTCTTCCAGGAAGAGAGATAAAGATTATTTGTTATACAAAAGTTAATAATGAAGGTAATATACTTGAGCAAATGCTTATGTATTATACGGATAACATCAATTGTGATGCCATCTGAGCCTTTAGCATGACTTTTGATGCGATTCATAAATTTCTCTACAGTGGCAGGGGAAACTGTCGTGAACAGAAAAGTACCACTATTCTTGACATATATATCATACATATATATCTTTGGACATCTCTCACACCAGAGCAATTCACATTGATATAATATGTTATTTTAAAGTATGTCGTCCTCTGAAGAGGAACTATCATGTTGTGATGGTATTTAAGGCGAAAAAAGAAGAAATAGCTTTTTCAACCAAACCTCTTTTGCTGTGACCTTGACGCCGGTAATCATAAATAAAAATGAATCTCAGAATATTGCTAAAATGGAGGCATTTTTGTTTGCCTTTTAATAAGCAGGTCGTATCGCTAGTGGTTGCCTATTGCGTATTGCTCCGGTGTGAGAGCCCGCTTATGGAAACTTCCATCCTATGGCCTGCCAGAGGAGCTTTGCAGGCGCGTGTTAGACTTTGTCCCTCGCCGCAAGATATACGAGTACGTCGTACCTAATAATTGAGACCTAGCCTCGAGAATTGCTCAAATCTTTGTGGTCTTTGAGGTCTCCTCCATGATGCCGCCACGTGATGTGCCTGCTAGACAGACCCGCCTTCGGCCTCCCACCCTAACCGTGACGAACTTCGTACATACAGAACTGGCTGATACGACCGCTCCTTGGTCTCTAGAGTATCAATATTGTGGAGCAATATACACGAGGAAGCTTTTTCCAGTCCTACTAACCTTAGGCAGTTCAAAAATCGGATTAAAAGAGTTTCTTCAAGCTCCTCATAGCAGCCGCGGTGCTCTGGCATTTAGGCCTGCGCGGCTGCTTCTGAGTAAAAAAATAGATGATTGCTAAAGCCAAAATGTTGCAGTTTGGTGTCTAATATTATCCAAGGCCTTCGAGAAATCAATATACAGGGTGACGGGAAAATAGATGCGGAGCCGGTAGAGGGAGATAGTACAAGCCAATCCGAGTCGATTTTACTATAGGAACTACTCCGAAAATTAGCTGTTTTCGAATTATACTAATTCTTAAGATTATATAAAATTAACGTCCTTTATACTTTAACCAAGTCATACAACTTGAAAATTGGGTGTTTCATTTGAATTTTTTTTGGTTTTACAATAAAAATATTCTAAAATACAAAAATTGATACTCAAATGTACATTGTTGACGTTATCTCATGCAGTAAGCTTCAAAATAGTTCATCTCAATGCGACCCCACACAAAAAAGTCCATAGGTGTGAGATCGGGACTGCGTGCTGGCCATGGGATTAGTCCGCCTCTACCGATCGATCGATTCGGAAACTGCTCATTTAACCAATTTCTAACACTTAGTCTGAAATGTGCTGGGCACCCGTCATGCTGAAAAATCATTCTGCCTTTTGTGTAGCGGCACGTCTTCAAGTAATTCAAATGGAACATTTCTTAAGAAATTTTCGTAGACTTCTTTCTCCATTTAAGTCGTCGGGTAGGTAAATGTGGTCCTACCAAACAGTTATTTATAATGCCCATCCAGACATTTAGACAAAATCGCCTTTGAAATCCTTTTGGTCTCTTCATATGAGAATTTCCCACTGCACGTTCACGCCAATAGTGAGCGTTATGGTAGTTTGTTATGCCGTCTTTATCAAATTTTTATTCGTCGATCAATAGAATTTTTCTTAAATAATTGCTATCTTCAACATCAGCGTTTAAAATAAAACGACAAAATTGCATGCGCCTCATGAGATCTCCTTCCTCTATGATGTGCACAGGTGTGTAGTGGTAAAGGTGGAATATGTTTTCATGCAGAACGTACCAAACTTGCCATTAGGATAATCCAAGCCGTCGAGCCACACCGCGAGTAGAGAGAGTAGGGTCTGTTTGGAAAATATTTAATATTTCTTCTTCTTCCACATCATGTGGAGGTCTATCTGCATCACCTGAAATGAAATGAAAAAACAAATAACAACAGTTTTTTGGAGGAAATTGTTACCTAATAAACATAGCGGTAAGACTATGAGCTAGAGTTGGCAAAATATTATACTAAGTGACATATAAATCAGAACACCCAGTTTAAATGGTTTTATTTTAATAAAAGTTGGTGAATGTATTTATCTTACTGTAAATAACAAGTGAAAAATTTTTCAGCCTTATCAGTTGGACATTCCGGTTTTTATACTGCTTTTTTTTAATTCACTAACGCTCTAAAAATGAATATTTCAGCCGCAGTAAAGAATCAACGTTGGCGGATTTTGGTTCTTGACATCCTTTACGATCGGTTACGATGCTTAGAGTACGGAGACCTGTACGATTTCGTCAACTTAGTGGGTTTGATAGGGGCCGTATAGTGGGACTTCGGGAATCTGGACTTTCTTTTCGGGCAATTGCAGTTAGAGAGCAAAGAAGTGTAGACACTGTGGTTAGGTGTTGTCAGGCATGGCTTCGAGAAGGCCGTACGCAAAGAGCAAGGGACACTGGACGCCGCCGTAGAACAACAGACCGTGAAGATCGCCGCCTAAGATTATTGGCCTTAAGGGACCGTTTCTCCACTACCAGGTCCATTGCAAATGAATGGTTTGCAGAACACGGAAGACCTATTGGTATGCGAAGTGTTACACACATACCGGCCACACTGGGTCCTCCCTTTAACTCGAGAACACCGACGTAATCGCCTTGAGTGGTGCAGACAACGGTCACTCTGGGATCAGGAATGGAACAGTATTGTCTTTAGTGACGAGTCTCGATTTTGTTTAGGCATGCACGATGGTCGTGCCAGGGTTAGAAGGCGACGTGGTGAAAGGAGGAATCCACAGTTTTTTGTTGAAAGACATGTTCATCACACTGTTGGAGTTATGGTTTGGGGTGCTATAGCTTATGGTTCCAGGTCACCTTTAATCTTCATCAGAGGAAACATGAACGCGCAGCGTTATATCCACGAAGTTCTAGAACCCCATCTTTTACCCTATCTTGACACCCTGGCAGATCCAACTTTCCAACAAGATAATGCCCGACCACATGTTGCAAGAGTCACAATAGACTTCTTTCAACATAATGATGTCACATTGTTACCATGGCCACCAAGATCTCCCGACTTATTCCCAATTGAGCACGTGTGAGATATGATGGGTAGGAGATTGCTCAATTTGCAACGTCCTCCTCAGACTCTAGAAGCAGTTCGAGAGGAGTTGGTGGTTGCCTGGAATGAGATACCACAGGAGGACATTGACCACCTGATCTGAAGCATGCCTAGGCGCGTTGGAGAATGCGTAGCACATCAGGGTGCATCCACACATTATTAAAGGTCCAAGGGCTTTAAAGCAGTGGAATCATTTTGAAATTTTTATCATTTACTTATTATGCTTCATTAAGTACTTATACAAAATTTCATTAAAATAAAACCATTTAAACTGGGTGTTCGGATTTATATGTCACTTAGTATATTTAGAAAAAACGATACACGGCGTGTGGATGTTTCCATCTTCAGAGCCGTGTAGATGCTGTGTTAAAATTAAATGAATAAACTCTTAATTAAGAAGTTCAATCAACTGTATCAAAACAACTATGTTACAGTATCATCAGTTCAGCCCACAGACCTCCAAGGCTCTATATAGGCCTTACTGAACGACTGATTATGACAAGTTAATAATTATCAATGATGCAAACTTACCTTGATATCTTACGACGGTACCGCACTCTGGAACCCGACGGAACGTTTGCCTAAATACGCGGGCGTCAGGTAGGCGACGATTAGGAAACATTTCCCCATACTCACGACGAGCTTCTTCAGCATTGCCTCTGGCATCTCCATAGTAGAAAAGGTTATCGGCATATTCTTCGAAACTGAACGGCCGCCTCCTTTGTTCATCAACGAACAATCAAGTCTCACAGCAGCCAAATCGTAAGGAATCTCAGAAAACAAGGTACAGTTTAGGTCGTCAGGAAAAGAATCACACACGGAAGTCCAACAAGAGGCAAGTCGTTAGAAATATCAAACAAACATATCCGAATGCAACAAATCGCAAGAGCAGATTGAAGCGAGGGAGGGAGGAGGGTGACTAGTCTTACTTATAACACTATTCCAGTGGCAGAGTCCAATGTTCGCGGCTCTACCTGTTTCTTTCACTCATATCTTTGACATTTCTAAACCGGTTTGTGACTTTGATACCTCTTTTGAAAAGTAATGAAACGTAGATATTTTAAAATTGTTTTGCACGAAAAATGTGTAGGTGATTGTTTCTAGTAAATTGAGTTTTTGAGATGAACGAAGATTTTTTTAACAAAAATTGAACTATTTTGAAGCTTACTGCATGAGATAACGTCAATAATGTACATTTGAGTATCAATTTTCGTATATTAGAATATTTTTATTGTAAAACAAAAAAAAATCAAATGAAACACCCAATTTTCAAGTTTTATGACTTGGTTAACGTATGAAGGACGTTAATTATATAGAATCTTAAAAATTAGTATAATTCGCAAACGGCAAATTTTCGGACAGTAGTTCCTATAGTAAAATTGACTCAGCTTAGCTTGTACTAACTCCCCCCCATTGGCTCCGCATCTATTTTCCCGTCACCCTGTATAATAAACCGATGTAATAGTTCCGGATCTATTCCAGATCTCCGTGGAGGTATCTCCAGATGGCCAGCTGGGTCTGGACAGCCCTTCTTCGGCAGCTTGGAACAGCAACGTCCACTGGGTCCGCGCGCTGCGTCTTTCTGAAGACTGTCACTCCTTCAACGTGCAGCTGAAGCTGCAGATGCACCCAAGACCGAAGCTGATGGTACAAGCTGTACGACCAATTGAAGCTGGACAAGAGCTGCAGATGTGGTTTGCTGAGGAAGTGTTGGCTATTCTGCAGGTTGCTTTCCTTACACCGTCGAATATACAAGGTATTTAGTTTTAAGGTCCGTTTGTCTTATACAGAGTGATTCAAAGAACAGGGACAATGTATCTAGGAAGTAAAGCAAATTTGAAAATAATAACGCAAAGCTCATAAATAAAAATTGGTCCAAAATGCGCCCTCTACACAGAGGTTGTTCGTGGGCGCCCTAGTGGGCGTAACTAGAAAGCTGAAGCACTGCAGGCGGACAAATTTTTCATTGATATGCCAAGTTAATATATCATATTCCCCTTGTATATTGATACATTCACATTCGTGTCTGCTTTTCTCCTGCAGGAAATTCTAATAGATATATTTTCCAATGTTTAATGGTGTTTTTAGATTTTTATATATAAATGCAGATTATTTTCAATAATGCTCTAAAGCTGAGTGTAACATACGCACAAAGTTACCATTTTCTTTTAAAAAATAATCGAATCTAGAAAAAAATACTGAAAAAAATCTCGCAGCCGGTAGGATTCGAACCTACGCTCCCATAGGGAATCTGATTTCGAGTCAGACGCCTTAACCACTCGGCCACGACTGCTCCCTCAACCGCGCTGCGATAGCTACAACGTAAGGACAAGTAATCGATATATACCAGGGGCATTCAATATGTTTCAAATATTAATGTATCACGTAATAGTGATAAATCTTAGAAGCTGTGAGATCAACATGTAGATATTTTAATGTAATGACCTCAAAACATAAAGTCAATATTTTTGTAAGTGGTGTTGACAATCTTGATTATCTTTCAGGTCAAAAGAAGTACGTCTGCATACGATGTGCTGCTTTATACGAGTCACCAAACCCATTAAAATTGCACATGACACTCTCATGTGGTAAACAGAATATTAGCTTTCTATGGGAGCGTCTAGCCAGTCTCATTGCGAATGAAAACTTGCACAAAGCTAACGGAAATGCATCTTTCAACTTCAAGCTTTTACCAGAACCTGCAATGAGGTAAAGCAAAATGCGTTTCGTCTGCATTTGATGGATTTGTTTTGCATACCTGAGCTCATTTATGTTCATTTATACGTTTTTCAGGCAAAGAAATGCAATTGATCTCACACTGACAAGATCTCCGAAAGTAATAGAGAAAGGAAACCTTTACCGGCCTTATAGTGAACCTTCTGCCTTCAGGCCATTCAAAAAAGATGCAATGCCTCTAACGGTATCGACTCCAACAATTCTACCAATGAACTTTGAGCAAGAAGTACAAGTAAGTAAAAAACGTTATACTCAGATTTACCGAAGAATATTGTTTTTTGACCTCTCCTCCATGGCATGATTTTGTGCCTCTTTGTCGATCCGATTTGGTCGAGACTTTTAGATCTAGAACTGAACGATTTTACCATTTAATGGATCATAACCACTTCAAATTTGTATAATCGAATTTTCCTTAATTCCCTTTTTATAGCAGACGCGTTATTTTAATTTTTCGTACGTCTTACTTCCCACGCTAACTGCCCAATAGGTACTGTACTCAAGAAAAATTTCGAAAATGTGTTTTTGGATCCCATATGACTTGCAAGGGCGGATCTAGAGGGAGGCGTGGGGGCGCCCTCTTTGCGCAGAAACATTTAGGATATTTGATTATCTAATAGGTAGTTTGAAAAGCCACAATATTGAGGAGTTTTTCATCACTATGGGCATCTTATCCGCCTATTGATCTTTTGTACATGCCGCATTGAATATCATGTATTTTTTTGACAACAAACAAGATTTCAGATTAGCCGATTTCTGTGCCTACATTAACTGCACTCAGCGGCACATCATTTCGGAACATATCCTGTAAATCTGATTGGAACTCAATAAAAGCCAACTTCAATCTTAAAAATGGTGATAACTCAAAACCCGTGCAAAATCGGATAATGGTGTTTTTGATTGCAAATGACCCTCTGTCTATTACCCCCTTTCGTCCACTCCATGACTTTATTTCAACATAGCTTGTTTCACGTATAAAATGAAACTCTTTCCAGATCCATCCCGGAGCTGCTTACCACGATGAGGCCCAAATTGAAAGCCTTGTTAGCAGCTTAGGAAAATCAAGACAAGGCCACATTTGTCTCTATTGCGGCAAATGTTATTCAAGAAAGTACGGTTTGAAGATACACATCAGGACACACACCGGTTATAAGCCTCTGAAGTGCAAATTCTGTGACAGGCCTTTTGGAGATCCTAGCAATTTGAATAAACACGTTAGGCTACATGCTGAAGGAAATACACCATACAAGTAAGTACCTGCTGGTCAAACGTTTCTGCAGGGTGTTTCCAATGTTAGGTCTTTACATGGAGCAGTATTTCCCAAAGTATATGTCTCGAAATCCTGCGGACCGCAAAGAGATTCTATGGGGGTCGTCATTCCTGTAGTGGTGTGTCAGTGTCGACATCGGCGCAGATTTATCAGTTGTAGTTTGTTACCCGATACGCAGTAGGCAGTGGCCTCCACGACGATGCAGCGTCGCAGCATCGCGCCGTGCACGCAACACCGATTGCAAGTTAGTTCGAATTATGAGCACGTTATACGTCGGAACTTAGTCATTGAATTTTCCCGTTGTTACAAGGATAAGAATCTTCTTACTGATAGAGCGTCTTTCACTGTCACAAAAAATGTTCAGAAAATGAGAGAAGACTCTGAAACGTCAAAAAGCTGTTTTTTCTGCAGTCGCTGAACCGATTTCCAAAAACTACAGGGCCTTTTCGTCCTTGGCGTAGTAGTAACCTTGTGTGAAAAGTTTATCTAAATCCGAGGGGTACTTTCCAAGTTACAGAGGGGTCGAAGATTAGCGGTCAGAGAGACAGACCGAAATGAATGACTTGATTTTTCGTAATAACTTAATTTCGATGTTTTTCGGGATTACAATACTTCCTCGCCAGTTGGAGTAGGAAGTAATAGCACTTTGTTAATTATACTTTAATAATGTCGTAAATAAAAATAACAAATTATCAAACGAAATGTCTGTCAAAATAAAGTTGAATATAATATATAATATTTAAATCTAGACCGTGTATTTGAGACACAAAAAATCATATCGTTTTCAAGTAAGAATCGACTTCTCATTTTTGTTATAATGATCATAGACGGGAAACTCAACTCACATAAATATGATGTTGCAAATGGAACAAAAATTTTGACAGCTCCCACCGAAGGTGTTCGTGCATCATTTTGGTCCAAAATTCAGTCGGGTTCATGGAAAAAATTGATGCTTCAACATTTAATAAATATATTAGTATTCGAATATGTTGAACGAAATTAACTATTAACGGTCTCAGTATCCATCTGCAAGTGTCGTGACTGTTTTGAATTTCTCCGGAGAAATAATCACAGAACTGTTTTAAATTGAGCTAACTAATCATTTTCCATGATTTCCTTTATACAGGAAACGAGCTATCTTTTGCCAAATCAAGTAGATCATAGATCGATTTTTCTTATAAATCACTTAACTGTAATTATATTAAGGAAACCTTGTTTCAGAAGCCAAATAGGATTGGAAAATTGATTTCCATTCGAGGACTTCTCATTTTTAAGATACACTCTATACTCTCAAGTGAAATACTCTTTTTAAGATGTTGCCCATTGAAAGCCATCTTACTCGGTGTGTTAAGATTTTCAACTAAAGCAGCCATGTCTTCGCAGATTTTTCGGAAAATACGGGTCTGCAAAACTTTTCCTTTAATGGAATTTACAGCTTTAACTACGTTCTTCACAATACAGTCCATTTCTCCATGCTGCTCTGGCGAAAGTACTACTAGTAACTATAGGGACAAATCACAATTATTTAAATAATTATTTATTCAGCGATCTAGCTATTTTCTACCGTTACGCCAACGGGCTTTGCTCTTTAGACCCGCCTGGACTTCCCATCCTAGCCATGTCGAACTATTTTGTCAGTAGGTATGAAGGTTGTTTAACAATCTACCTGATAAGGCCTTTCCCAGTATATATACAAACCTTATGCCTACACTTCACTATCAGCGATGACCGTTGATCGTGTGATTGTGATCGAAACGGCAAGCATCAATATGACCCGGCGATTCCCTTTGATGAGTGTCCGAAAAACCGACAATTCACGGGTCGAAGGCGATCATAGACGGTGATCGGCGAGTACAGCCGAGTATGCCCTCTACACGATCGTGCTCGTGCGTAATCGTTTGTAATCGCCGATTGTGAAGAGGAGCCATTAAATAAATTAAATTCAAGCGGATAACCAAATGAAAATGGTATTTACCATTTTCGGTTGGTATTTACCGATCCGTTCAAGCGAGTGTGGTTATCAGATTGGTTATACGATCCGTGACGTCATGAATCAGCTGTTATATGTCATAGTTATCACCGCAAAATTGTGGTATTTACCCAACTCGGGAGTAGTTTTATATTTCTGGTTATTATTTGAAATGTGACAAGTTAGAATTTTGCCGGGTATTGGATATTGTTTTTGTATTTCAGCTTCATTTTTGGGAAACTTGATCCAGGCTGACTTCAGTTTTACCATAAAGTGGAGCACCTTTTTAGTTATACCCATTACTGTTGTTGATGGGGACACTTTAAATGTAGTTTCTATGCTTAAAGAAGTATCCTGTGTAGCCATATACCACAAGAATATTAAAATATGGCCATATAAACTCACTAGATGATGTCCACCTGTATACGGTTTTGCTAATATCTTTTTTCATCATTTCTGCTGAATCAATAAATGTTTTCTTTGACATGCGGAAAACTTTAGAGAATTGAAAGTTACCATAGCTACAAAGCCATGGTTCCATCATTAAAAAAAAATCTGAAAAAAAAATCTCCCATGAATGAAAGGTTTCTTTTTAAAACTTTCTATACACAGTTGTAGACGAAAAGGCACCGATTATTAAGTGATAATAAAAATAATCAGAGATTATATATGCGCTTTTCTAAAATAAACAACTTGCAAGAAAACCGCAGTTAAAACCAACGCATTCAAGCGATTCGTGTCACTGACGTCATCAACCCGTGTGTCATCTTGAACCATAGGATAACCGCGGCACATAACACAGAAATTTTGGTTATTCGCTTGGATTTGATTATAGTTCGAAAACCGGATCAACAAAGTTTCCTTATTCTCCCCTTAGTATCTGCGGTGTCCCAGTATTCAGGCTTCTGCCTGCGCCGCCGCTTCGGCATGAAAAAAAAGAATTGAGTTTGAATCTGATTTTATTAAACAAAATAGGTTTGTCATTATTCCGGTTCTGTTTCTTTCAAAACTTGAACCCCTTATCTACAGAGAGGCAATGGTTAATATATCTGCTAATCTCTGAAGTGGTCATTGGATGCTTTTCTCTGGGCAAATACCACTTGTCTTCTTTAAGCGTAGGATCACTATTCCACCAGCCATATTGCATGGAGCACACACCAGGATATTTGTACATGTCGCATGGACCAATCGGTTTTACCACGTATTTCTGCTTCATTTTCTGAAGTCTTTCAAAGGACCTACAGTAAGAAAAATACAACGTTAGGGATACTCTTAACAGATACCATTCACGACCAAATGATTTCACTTTATCTTCCATTTGACTGTACAACAATGTATAAAATTGTCACACAAAAAATGAATACAAAACAATAAAACAGCAAAAGCACAGGTCAACAAACAGATCCACAAAAAAAAATAGTCATAGTGAAAGGAGCAGATAGTTATGGACCTGTTTGTAATTTGTTCTGAAAAAAATCATCAAGGGTGAAAAATCAAAAAATCCTTAAGACGTCTTACGGAAAGTTGTATTGTCATGCTGTCTCTAAGTGAATTTGTTAAGTGATTATATTACTCCAATTCAGTTTGGAGCGTGATAACTGGCATCTAGCCATTTATTAGATTATTGAATGTTATAGTTATTTTTGAATTTTATTGTTTTTTACATGTAAATACTTATTGAAGAATGGAAGCTTTCACGGCTAATTCTAATGTCATTTAGGTTTTTCGGTATGTTGAGCTGAGGTCGGGTTGGATTTTCTCCAGAGCTTTCAGCTTCATCAGTGACTCAGTGGAATACCCAGTGGAGCAAGTTCGTACACATTCAAGGCCACGTCCCACATTGTGATAAAAGACTAGCGGGAACTCTTAGTACACCCAAAATTACACTCTAACAAAACCTGAATCAGAATTTATTATTAGTGCACCTCAAAATTAAACCCTGCACCAAGTCATCTTAAACTGATACACTTCTCTTTTCTTTGCTCTTTTTTTTTTCTTCTCTTTTTCCTTTACATCTGGTTCGTGGACTGGACTGACAGATTCGACTGACGTACACTAGACAGTGACTAATGGGCGAAGGTCCTACGGACCGCCCAGGTAGACAAATGACGAATAGTAGTAGCGTATACATAAATAGACGAACAAATAAAAACAATTGAAAATCAGAAAGCACAAAAAATTAATATAGTCAACGCCAAACAAAGTGGCGTGCACGTCATCACGATAAAAATTCCCCGACCTAATGGCTAGGTTTCTATCACAAACAATTGCTCTATTGCAGTTTCATATTAATGTGATATATAAATTGTAAAATGGTCATTACTCTCTTATTATGGTTAATAGTCATATAAACATTGTTATTAAAATATCACATAAGTTGCTTTCTGATAAATTTAGACGCATTATGCGAAATAAAATGTTTTGCAAACGCTCCAATCACTTATCGACATGTAAACGCACTAAACCGATTTCGCAGCGTTGACACATTGTCACCTTGAAACTTATTTAAACTGGGAACTGACATTTGTATTAATTTTGACACTGAATCAATTTGTGGCATTTCAAATCTTTATAAATCCTTTGGCCCCGCATACTGTAAATCAACAACTGTTTGTTTCAAAACAAAATTATTCATTTTACGAGTAGATAAAGGCAATTTTGGTATATAAAGATGCCCAAACAGTTAAATAGTCGGTGTAAGGAACTCGTGGCCTCGTTAATGCACTACTTTCAGCAAGAAAGGGACAACAACGGGCCTTTGTTGCCTTTAAATGCTGTTCAAGAGGTAGGTTACTAATAATTATATGTAATGTATATTAATAATAGTGAAATTTTATTTCATTTTTTGTAGCGTGTTGCTGCTGCTTTAAAAATTAGTTTAAGGACAGTTAGTCGTATTTCCGAGGGTGTGAAAAGTGATGCAAATTTAGAATCGCCCAAGAAAAAGCGGAGTTATATTAAACGTGTAACCAACACAGAAACATTGGATACAAGTGCCATTCGAGAAGTGATCTATAATATGTATCACAAAAGTAAGATCTTATTATAATAACTTATCAGAAATTTGCATTAATTTGTTAACTAAATTATAATGTCATATTACACAGTTTCAGAAGAACAAGTTACGATACAAACTTTATGGTCTCGATTAAGAGATAGGCCATTATTTGGTGGTAGTGCCACGTCTTTAAGGCGGTTGCTTAGAGATCTTGGATTTAAGTGGCTTAAGGACAATCCGCGACTAGGGCTCATGGAACTACCAAGTATAGCTTTGAAAAGGGTGGAATTTCTAAGGCAATACAATCAAGCCAAGGTTGAGGCCTTATACCAGTTTGTCTTCCTCGATGAAACTTGGATATTTCAAAATGGGACCATAGGTCGCTCTTGGCAAAATGGAAACAAAAAAAGCGTGAAAGCTATTAAAACAGATGGTAAAAGGTATGTACTTTTACACAATTTGCACTATAAAATTTAAAACTAATATATTTTAGATACATTATATTACATGCTGGAAATGAAAATGGGTTTATTGAGGGTAGTGAAGCGATATTTTCTTCGAAAACAAAATTGAGCGATTACCATGGAGAGATGAACCAGGACAATTTTTTGAAATGGTTTCAACATCAGTTATTAGAAAAATTGGAGAGTCCATCTATGATTATACTGGATAACGCCCCTTATCACAGCATGATATTGAACAAAGTGCCCAACAATGCATGGACAAAAAAAATATCCAAGACTGGTTGACAAATCAAAACATACCATTTTTAAACACAATGTTTAAAACAGAGCTATTGAGTATTGTTGCTCGGTACATAATGCTTCTTAATTATATATATTTTGGTCGACAGTTTATATTTCTTTTGTTTATTCCTATTCTTAAAATAACTGCTTTTTTAGAAACAAACCACCTAAAATATACGTGATTGATGAATTGGCGGAACAACATGGGCACAAAGTTCTTCGTCTGCCTCCTTACCATTGTATATTTAACCCTATTGAGTTAATTTGGGGCATAGCAAAAGGTTACTATAACAGACATATTGGTAGAGATGGTAACAGTGAAAAAGACTGTTTGGATATGTGGAACGAGGCTCTACAAACGGTTACCCCAGACATGTGGAAAAATAGTGTTCGACATACTGAGCAAGAAATTTTTAAATGGTATGAAAGAGAACGAATTTTTGATCGACCAGACATCGAACCTTTAATAATCAACTTTGAGAGTGATGAAGATTCAGATTCAGACAGCGCTGAAGAAAGAAACTCCGACTAACTTTATTGTACAGAAAAAGCTTACACCAGTAGCTTACCTAATTTTAGAATGCATTTTTCTGTATGAATTCTGTAAAATAAATACCATGCATAAAATTTGGAGGACCCCATTTGGATTTTTATTCAGTACCTTTAAGCTATCAATTAAATATGGTAGTTTCATAGTGTCATCTGGTCAATAATTGTCATACTTAATGATTATGCAAGTACAGATCTATAATTTTATTATACTATTATTTTTGTTCTCATTTGAGGTTAATATTGCTTATAAACCTAGATATGTAAATAATAAATTTTATTATTTTACAAAAAGTTTGGCAACAATGTAAATTTTTCAACACACCCACCTTGATGACGTGCACGCCACTTTGTTTGGCGTTGACTATAGCTAAATTTATTTACATACAGTCTGCTAACGGATTCCACTAAAAATCGTGAAAATTCATTCAGTGAAAACATGTTCCGGGGTTTAAAACTAAGAGTTTTCCACTACTAGATAAATAAAATATATTGTCAAAGTCATTGTACTGAGAACTATTCAAAATGATAGCATCTTCTATGTTGGGATATTTTGAAGAGCAAAAAAACTCGCCACCTCTTACCCAAGAATTGGGTATCTTATTAAGATTATTTCACTTTGAAGCAGAAGCCAGGGGGGCGTATGCCACCCCTTGCCCACCCCCAATGGGCGCCCATGATTGTGACCGAAACGTTTAGAATAAAGAATATTTTTACAACACATGTGGTTTCGATTGGCCAAAGAAATATGGGGTACAATCGACTTGAAAACCAACAAATATAACTAATTGGAATGGTCCTACAAACCTGTAAGCATATCCATCAGCATATCCAATATAGCAATCCAACTCATTTATTCTTCCGAAGAAGTCTTGGCCCTTTTTGTTTTCCACCTCCAGAATATTTTTTGGGGGTGACTTTGGCTCTGTGTAGTTATCCCTTATCATGTCTTTAATAGGATCGCTGAATCCATAGTATGTTAGGCCGAAAAATTCCATTTTTCCCAAAACTTACTATCAGAATTTATCAATAACAATTGACACAACTGCTCTAAATAATATTGACCACATATTGACGGTCTTGGTAATATACAGTGCGAATTATCATAAAACTTCCGGCTTCGCAATATTACAGTTCTAAATACCTTGCATACATATTACGATTTACAAATTAAGTAGACCTATATAAAATGAGTCTTAGTTTTGATGTTTACTCGTAATACGGGGCAGTTATAAAAAACAAAATTAACCGTTTGCTTATTCCTCAAGTTTAATCTTCGATCTTTTTTAAGTACTTTCAAGACAAGCCAGATAAAATAACTTCCGGCATAGTCGGAAAAATTCTAATTCGAATACAGAAAAGTTTTTCTCTTATCAACTATGTCAGGATTCAAAATTTTGATAAACGCCTAAACAAATTCGACACAATTAAAAAATGTGTACGTTCAAAATAAAACCATTATTTGAGCGTAGAGAGTAAACGAACGCATATTTCCAACACGCAAGATGTGAACAGGGTTTTTTGCCAAGGCGAAGAGGTGGCTTCCAGCAAAATCGGCGGCAATACAGCTATAAGGCAGCTACAAAACAAAGCTGGAGGAGTGTGAATGGTGGTTCTCCGTAATGCCTTACCACGCTGCGGTTTCGAATCCCATAAGAAAATGGACGGGGTAGCACCCAGAAAGCGAAATAAAATAGCTCTGTACCCTTCTGTACACGTAAGCTTTTAAAAGAAGGAATCTTGAGAAGAAACAAAATAATCTTATACAGCCTAGTACGTACAAAAATCACAGGGTGGCGCTGATTGCCAATGGACGGAACCAACTCTACGAGAGACCATCGATATTTTATAATTTCTGAGATCTGAGTCGTTAGTAATACTACAACATTAGAGTCCAAAAGATTGCAACACAATACTCAGTCGCTGCGAAAGAAATATATAATACGTGTGACATTATACAATCAATAAACTATGAAATTTGCCAAAAGAAAATCATTAAAAAGGGTTTGGTCAAGGAATCGGCACCCTACCATTAATAAGGAGAAACTCAAATTACTAGTAAATGGTCAAAATAGTAAAAAAATGTTACGTGATTCTGGCACGTGACAACCGGCAACTCGGCAGATTGCCAGGTCATCGTTGCTAGGCAACGCGGTGAAGAGCTTCGCTATCCAGCGGGCTTCTATATCTTTCTCACATGTGTCTATACATGCTTCTCTCTCCTACACATTGAACTGAAGCCATCCGACTAATTTGGTTTGCATTGTGTATCCAAGTGAGATTCAAGAAGATTAGTAACTTTTTATTCTCCTATGCCAAATATTAATGTCTTAGCTAAGTCTCCGATAAATTTTATTTGTACGAGGTACAACACAATATCGGACATAATTCTAATCTACTCGTTTGTTGTTAAATGTTTTTTGCTATGTATACTAAGTGACATATAAATCCGAACACCCAGTTTAAATGGTTTTATTTTAATAAAATTTTGTATAAGTACTTAATGAAGCATAATAAGTAAATGATAAAAATTTCAAAATGATTGCACTGCTTTAAAGCCCTTTGACCTTTAATAATGTGTGGATGCACCCTGATGTGCTACGCATTCTCCAACGCGCCTAGGCATGCTTCTGATCAGGTGGTCAATGTCCTCCTGTGGTATCTCATTCGAGGCAACCACCAACTCCTCTCGAAGTGCTTCTAGAGTCTGAGGAGGACGTTGCAAATTGAGCAATCTCCTACCCATCATATCCCACACGTGCTCAATTGGGGATAAGTCGGGAGATCTTGGTGGCCATGGTAACAATGTGACATCATTATGTCGAAAGAAGTCTATTGTGACTCTTGCAACATGTGGTCGGGCATTATCTTGTTGGAAAGTTGGATCTGCCAGGGTGTCAAGATAGGGTAAAAGATGGGGTACTAGAACTTCGTGGATATAACGCTGCGCATTCATGTTACCTCTGATGAAGATTAAAGGTCACCTGGAACCATAAGCTATAGCACCCCAAACCATAACTCCAACAGTGTGATGAACATGTCTTTCAACAAAAAACTGTGGATTCCTCCTTTCGCCACGTCGCCTTCTAACCCTGGCACGACCATCGTGCATGCCTAAACAAAATCGAGACTCGTCACTAAAGATAATACTGTTCCATTCCTGATCCCAGAGTGACCGTTGTCTGCACCACTCAAGGCGATTACGTCGGTGTTCTCGAGTTAAAGGGAGGACCCAGTGTGGCCGGTATGAAAACAAGCCAAAACTTCTCATTCGTCGGTAAACACTTCGCATGCCAATAGGTCTTCCGTGTTCTGCAAACCATTCATTTGCAATGGACCTGGTAGTGGAGAAACGGTCCCTTAAGGCCAATAATCTTAGGCGGCGATCTTCACGGTCTGTTGTTCTACGGCAGCGTCCAGTGCCCCTTGCTCTTTGCGTACGGCCTTCTTGAAGCCATGCCTGACAACACCTAACCACAGTGTCTACACTTCTTTGCACTCTAACTGCAATTGCCCGAAAAGAAAGTCCAGCTTCCCGAAGTCCCACTATACGGCCCCTATCAAACTCACTAAGTTGACGAAATCGTACAGGTCTCCGTACTCTAGGCATCGTAACCGATCGTAAAGGATGTCAAGAACGAAAATCCGCCAACGTTGATTCTTTACTGCGGCTGAAATATTCATTTTTAGAGCGTTAGTGAATTAAAAGAAAGCAGTATAAAAACCGGAATGTCCAACTGATAAGGCTGAAATTGAAACCATTTAAACTGGGTGTTCGGATTTCTATGTCACTTAGTATATTTATATACAAATTACTACATAATACCTAGATTGACATCCAAATATAAAGTCTACTTTCACTGCAAGAGGGCACAGACAAATCTTCCGTCTAAAGCACCGTTAAACTTGCACTTGCAAACTATGTACAAGAATGCGAATAGTTTTTGTGATATCTTCTGTCGTGGATTTCAGGAATTAAGAAGTGCTATACGCTCACATCTTTGACTTTTTTTACCCCTTTCTCTAGTAGTTTGCGTTTGTTAAATATTTATGTGTGAACCTTACATTAAATAGTTATTATGTTCCTTTTTACTATTAATCATGTTTGTTGCTTCTTTTATCTCTACTTAAACCTTTATCTTTTTTGTTTTTTTTTCCACTTTATGGCAGATAAACTGTGTAAATTTATTGTACTATGTATTGCTCTTTAAATGGTATCAATACAGTTGATCAATAAATGCTTTATTGTTATTGTTACGAGTACTTCGACTACTACTACTACTGCTGCTAGTACATACTGTTGCTACTAAGAAAAACTTTTTTTCAGATGTGACCTGTGTGGTAAAATTCTAGTAAGAAGAAGGGATCTAGAGAGACACTTGAAGTCTAGACATATGATAGAAATGAACCCAGATATTAATTTGATAGAAGATTCCAAAGAAGAGATCAAGTCCGTAAGTGATAACGAAAGTAAAAGTTCAGACTGATAGTTCGAAGTTGTATATATTAGAATGTATTTTGTATTTGAAGTTGTATATTTTTACGCTGGTTCAGAGTAACGTTTATATATTTTTGATACGAGATATTATATGGATTCTTAATAAAAAGTACCTAATATTGGATACTTAGTATTTTTATTTTCTCAATTCAAAACCAACTAAGCCAATATAAAACGGCTACAAATATTTCGTTCAGAGCTAATTTTTAAGCTGTGTCTGTCTGGCAGAACAAAGAGTCAACCTGGGTGTTGTTATTAATTTAGAAATTGGTTCCAATATTTACAACGAGTACAGTATGGGGCAATAAAAATGAAATTCGATTTGTAATGAAGACTTTATTCAAAAGGTCCATTAACAATATGGCAATATTTGAGTGATCTAACCTAAAAATAAATAGGTCATGAAGAGCTTATATTCAACAAAGTATCTTGGTGATAATTTACCTAATACATGTTTGGATTGCAACGGAATTGCCTTCGCTTAGTGATATCACGCTAGGCAGCACAAAATTGAATATAAACTCCCAAAATATTTCATAATTGTCTTACCAATTTGGCTGATTTTTTTTCTGTTATAATGACACCATACAAAAACTTCACTTCGCGGATTCAAATTGGTGTGCCGTGGGGAAAAAATTTATATCTAAGACGATCTATGACTATGTTTGATTGGTTGACAGTTTTACCTTTGAAGTTTTGAATCCTTCACCCAAATTGGTAAGACGATAATACCATTCAAACCATTTTTAAAATTATAAGCGTTTCCTCTTAGCTTCCTCCCTTAAGTCTATCAGTACCTGTGACTCTTTGGAATTGTGGAATGGTTGCACAACTGCCAACGGCTGAGTTGACTGGACTATACCTGCTGGAGCCGAAATCGAGGTTGGGTTCCTATTCGCTGCAAAAAAATCGATTGATTAACCAAGCGTTTATTCTATATCATAAACTGCAACGGATTAAAGAAAAAATAATTCTTGTCATTTTTTGTGAAATACGAAATAATAATATTGGAGCAAGTTGTTGGATATATACGAGGTGACCAGCAATAAATTGCACTTTCACCTTTCAGACGTGGTTAATAAGCAAAATTGTCGCTATTGTGCACCAGAAAATCCAAGGTGAAAACACGAAAGGCCCCTACATATCCCAAAAGTAACTGTATGGTGTGCAATCTCGGCTTCAGGAATTATCGGTTCGTTCTTTTTGAGAACAAACGTGGCATGGCCCAAACTGTAACTGGTGATCATTATTGTGCAATGCTCTGAGAGTTTTTGGTACCTCAGCCACAAGAATTTGATGGATTTGACCAAGAAACATGGTTTCAACAAGACGGCGCACCGCACATACAGCATCTATGGAAGTCGAGAATTATTCCCGGATAAGGTCATCTCTTGCTTTGAAGACCTAAACTGGTCAGTTAGGTCTCCAGATCTCATCCCATTGGACTTTTTTGTGAGGATATCTCAAAAGTTAAGTTTATGTTAATCGGGATAGGACTTTAAAACAAAAAATACGGAAAAAATCAGTGCACTTACACCTGAATTATGTTTAGCAGTTTTTAATCACATGAAGACAGCATTGCAGGAATGTTTCGACCGAAATGGAAGGCACCTCAACAATATAATTTTCAAAACATAATTCCGCCTAGATTGTGTGTATTTTTGCTTCAATAAATTAATGTTAAAACTGCAAGACAATTTTTTCTTAGCCTTTAAAAAGATAATTTATTTTTGGACACCCAGTAAGTCATTATTTCACTGTACATTAAGTAATCTTTCATTTTTTTTTTAGTTCTGTGATAAAATATATACTTTTTGAATAATGCATACGTGCAGCACTGGTTTGCATGGACGCACAACATTTGCTTATTGTCCGCCAGGTAAAAATAAAGGCTTGTTATTATTTATTAAAAAAGAAATTAATCATAATATACGGCGTTCGACAGAGTTGATCATGGTATCTTGGTAAGCAAGCTGAGGCCAATTGGCATACATGGCACTCTACTTAAATGGCTTGAGAGTAATGCAACAGATAGATACCAAGTGGTTAAGATCAAAAACCAGATATCCTCAGAAATTAGTGTTACATCGGGTGTTGCCCAGGGAGGCCATTTGTCTACGCTTCTATTCAATATTTTTGTGAATGATATTAAGGATATTTTTGTTAATTGTCTTTTTCTTGGCTTTGCGGACGATTTAAAAAATTTTAAGATTATTAGAAATACGAGTGATTGCCTCGCTTTGCAGGAAGATTTAAATAGGTTTTCTCATTGGTGCAATGTAAATAACTTAATACTAAATACTGATAAGTGTAAAGTTATAACCTTCTGTAAAATTAAAAATCCAATAGCTTTTGAGTACTCACTAAACAATGCAATTTTACAGAGAACAAATCTAGTAAGGGATTTGGGTGTGTGGCTTGATTGTGAGTTAACATTTGTGTCTCACATTAAGAAAATAACATCAAGAGCTATGCGTCTTTTGGGATTTGTTTTTAGGAGTCTTATGGACGTCAATAATGTTTTTATTGTGAGAGATGTCTACTGTGCTTTAGTAAGATCATTATTTGAATATGCCAGCTCTGTTTGGCATCCTTATTATGCTGTGCACAGAGATAGTATTGAAAGAATCCAAATAAAATTTCTTAAGAGAATAGGGCTAAAGCTTGGCATTCCTTATGATGACATTAATTGTCAGGACCTAATGACTCTACTGAACTTAACGCCACTTGTAAACAGAAGAGATATGTTTGATATTTGCACACTTTTTAAGATCATTAACAATCAAATTAATGCACCTGATCTCCTTGCCCTGATTGGTTTTCATATACCGTCAAGGGGGTCAAGAAGTAAGTCATTATTTCATATTCCATATCATAGGACAAATTATGTTGTGAATTCTCCTATAACTCGAATGTGTATGAAAGCAAATAGTGTAGTGTAGAAGTGCAATAAAATTGACTTTTTCAACGATAGTTTTAGGATTTTTGCGAATAAAGTGAGAAATGTAGTACAGTAATAATTGGTCTTGTTGTATCTAGTAGTGTTTAAGATTGTAGACCGCCCTCTTGTGATCATGCACCATTAATGATTTTATATTTTGTATTGTTATTTATATTTAAATGCTATATGCGTTAATAAAGAATTTCTTAATTTCTAATTTTACGGCGGCACCGCAGTTTCCTCGAAACGCGATTTTTCAAAACGGCACGCAGCATAACTCGAAGACTTGTCATTATTTTTATCCGAATTTGTTAATATCCGTAAAGTGACATTTTGAAGAGAAATACGTAGGCGATTTTCGATAACTTAATTTAATCGTTATTTATCGATAAATGGTTACCTTTTACTTTCCAGGCCCAGTGGGATATTATGTTTATTTAATGTTATCTGACATGCGCATCACGAAAAATCACGTTGCTCATTTCCGTCGGTCTCTCGGACTGTCCGCTTAATCTTATAACAGCCTATAACTTGAGAAGGCGGTTTGTCAGAACAATAGGAATCAATCTCTGCGACTAATAAACAGAGTAATAGACTTAAATGTACTGACTCCTTTTAACCTCATACATTTATTATGCTTAAATAGAAAGGAGATATACGACAGCCTGGCTGAATTTATCCATTCAATCAATGTAAGCCTATAATCACTTCACATACCCTTGTTGCCTCCCTATTTGTTATATACCTCCTCTTACCGTGGTCTACCTGTGCACGTGTAAGAAGTCGCCCTGACCGACCCCTGAGGCGTGAAGAAGTGTCCTCTGTGAAGATCCCTAGCATCATCCCACTATAACAGTAGACTTCCAGTTTGGAAAAACATGAATCCAAAATCAAACCGATGATCCATCATTCATATAATGCTTAGTGACTGGCTGCATGAACACCTAGTTCTAATGCAAAAAAAAAACTTGAGAAGGACCGCTCGGATTCCGATGAAATTTTTACACAATGTTACTACTATGCCAAGGACGCAAAATTTCTGAAATCGGTCTGGTGGCGACGGAGAAAACGGCCAAAAACAAAAAATCAAAATCGCTTAAACTTCGTTTCTTGACGTATCACATGATCCTGATCATTTTCGGAAAAAAAATTGTAAATAAAATTGGGGGTTGGTGATAGCAGGGGATGGGGGAGGGTATATCTCGATTTAGCGTTGTTAATCGCAACGATTATATGCACCTGCAGCAGTTCCTCTTAGGGGGAAGAAAAAGATCATTTAAACTTTTGTTAAAGATGTCCGTTGCTAACTTTTTTCTCATAAAAGCTAACTTGTGCAGAACATAATACGTTACGAACTGATGACCGCGTTACGTGGGAAGTACAGAGTCAACTTACTTGACGCCATTTTTTTCGTCGAAAACGTTCTACTCTTTCGACAACCACACAAAAATCAATGTCTTTGAAATCGCTGACTTTATCTATAAACATATACAATAGGTTTTTTCTTTCTTAAGAATCCAAATTTGCAGCAGCTACACAGCGTGCGGCTGAGCGACTCAAATTCTATGTGCTTCGCAAAAATAGCTGCTGTGCTGTCATTTTTTAATACTTTTTTCATGATAATACACATATTTGTTTATAACGTTGGACATGGGATCCAACCTAACTAAAGCCTTTTACTCAATTTCTAGCTTTCCAAATAACACCCAATAGCATGATCTAGACCAGCGGTTCCCAACGTTTTTCTTGCTGTAAACCGCTTATACAAATTGGAATATATCGGCGAACCCCCTGAGCAATCGTTAGTGAGAGTAAATAAAACAGTACTACTTGGCTCTTATCAAAATTTATTAATCATAAGGATAATAGTTATGATGAGCAAAGTAAATTAAAACATAACTGTAACTAAAAACATTTACAGAAACGTTATTAAAACTAACTAAGCCTTACAAACAAAGGACTAAAATAATCGTGTTCTGCATTCAATCGATTTCTGTACTTATCTTTGAGGTAATTGTATGTTGAAATTCTTAACAAAATTTTCATGGCTTTTTCTGCTTCATTTTTTACATTGAGTCAGAAGTGTATTAAAAAATGATCTGCAAAAACAGCTTTTATAGAATTGTCAGATAATAAATCAATGAGCTATTCTTTTTTCAATAAAGATAAAGAAGTGTTATTAATTAAATTATATCTCCTCCAAAAGCATTGCCTATCCAGTTGTTTGACCCAGGTTTATTAGAAAAATACTCTTTGAACGTTAATTGAAGCTGTTTGAGATGTTCAGTAATATCTCTTCCAATGTTTTCGTTGAGTGGAATTTTATTATTTGATAAAAAGCTGCTGAGAGAACCAAACCAATCATACTCATTCATCTGCAGAAATTAATTCCAAAAGTTGAATTTCTTTAGCATGTCCTCTGTTTTATCATGATAATTGAAAATGGTGATTCCTGGACCTTGTAAAGACATATTTAGTTCATTTAATTTAGGAAAAATATCGGTCAAGTATACAAATTTTTTGAGCCACAGAATGTCGCATACAGAAGCGGACAGAAATGGATGGTCGAGAAAAAATGCCTGAACTTCAGACTTCAATTCAAACAAGCAGTTCAAAACTTTGCCACGAGAAAGCCACCTAACTTCTGTGTAAATAAAGAGACATGCAAACTTCCCAAATTCTCACAAAGTTAACGGAATAGTCGAGAATTTGTAGCACGGGACTTTATAAAATTCACAACTTTTACAGCTTCGCTTAAAGTACTGGCTAACTCTGCATGAATACGCTTACATGCCAATGCTTGCCTATGAATACAGCAGAGAGTTCATTCTATATTCTCGTTGATCTTCTTTATTCGTGCCAGAAGACCAGAATATGTTCCAGTCATAGATTTTGCACCATCTGTACATACACCTAAGCAAAATGACCAGTTGATTTTATGTTTTTCAAAATAGTCGTTGATCAGATTAAAAATTGTTGCACCAGTCGTATAGGTTTCCAGTGGTTTTGCAAATAACAAATCTTCTTGAATGGAATTCTTAAAAATATATCTAACATACACGAGCAAAATTGCACAGTCTGCTACATCGGTCGACTCGTCAAGCTGAATAGCAAAATAATTCAATTTTATTATTTTCAAAAGTTCACTTTCAACGCTTCACCAAATCGTTAATTCTCCGTGACACTGCGCGGTTTGATAAGGGCACAAGGTCCATTTTTTGTCGCTTTTTCTCCAAGCATACACATTGCGATGTCTTTAGCACAAAGTCCGATCAAATTTTCTGCCACTGTATGAACTTTTCCAGATATTGCGATTCTGTAGCTAACTCGAAATGATGCTTCAAGAGCCATTTTACTATCTGCGTTGAAAGCCGACTGGAAAAAGGAAATACTACAATTCTTATTACCTTCCAATTTCCTTTTAAAATATTGCATAGGTTTATCCGGATGTCTTGACTCAAGGTGCCGACGAAGAAGCGATGGTCTTAAACTACTGTTGGCCAGGACTTCATTACAAATTACACAAAGCGGTTTAAGTTCTGACTCTTCCCCGGTGAAATAAAAATCCATTTGCGTCGTATTATTATTTCTTTCCTTTTTTTTCACCATGCTTGTCTATTTTCTCATTTTATTCTGGCGAGAAGGTACCTCTCTATAATTTTCAACATCGCCACCCTGTGTTGCACCCACACCGGGAACCGAAGAAGAAGCAGTAGTTGATTGTTCATCTGACATTTCGTCAGACTTCACAAAACTGCTAGTTTTTAACCAACAGAATATCATCACATTTATTAAATTTCACGTTCGTTCCGTGACTGCGACCTTTTTATATCTGCAGACGTTATTCTCGTTCTTTCCAGTGCATACTCAGAAAGGTCTCGGTGCGCTCGATTCACCGAAGTAGAACTCTTGCCGGATTGTTGTAGCGGCGGTGTTGCAATATTGAGGACAAATTCCGCCATTACCATATTTTTTTTCGCGAACCCCCTTCATATAGCTCGCGAACCCCTAGAAGCTCGCGAACCACCGCTTGACAAACCCTGATCTAGCCAATAATCACGCATATTGTCACCGAAATGTTTGTTTTCAAAATAAGGTGCACTCATTTTGCATGTTCCAACATTCCCTAGATAGTGCCTGTCCGAAAATCGATCATGAACAACATGGTGCAATGGATTTTGAATACTCACAAAGTCCGTCATTTTCAGCGGCCTGCACGGAAGGTTCAGCTTCCTTCTTTGGAAACTCCAAAATGGTAACATTCTTCGGTGGTGGTTCGACCGGTTCCTCACTCTCAACTATCACAGCTTCCGTTTCTGGCACGATGATAGCATCCTCGTTGTTGATATAATCGATGGAAACTGGCTCAGTCGGAATGGCGTAGACCACTTTCACGGTCACTGGAGTTTGCAGAGAGACATAAGTTTCTGGGGCAACGGGGGCCATCACTGCACCCACCTTCACCGGGATCTTGTATCTTTTGTGGACTATTTCGATCTGTTAAAAAAAATCAGAATCGTTGATTTCCTCGTTTAGCTAATAAATTTTCATTTTCCATGTCATTTCTTTATTGGTGGTTAATACACTTGCGTGCTTACACTTGTCAAAGTAAAAGTTACAACACAAAAGCGTAAAGTCACACAACAACAAAATTTGTTGGAAAGTACATCATTAACAGAAAATTGTAAAAAACAACATTAACTCAAAAACTGTAAAATGATATTATGATTGTAAATTACATACAAAACAAGCATATCTGAACAAATTAACAAATAGAGCAAAAGTAAACATGCACGCTACAAAACCATTACAAGAGATCCAAAAAGTTATTATTTAGAAATTCTTATATGGTATAAAAAGCTTTATTGATAAGATTTAATTCTATATGTACTTAAATCAGCCGAGGCCAGACATTCAGGGTGCCTCAGGGAGAACATTATAAAAATAGAGTCCGTAGTAGTTAGAAATATCTAACTTTCATGCATGTTACATGTATTGTAACTATGTATATCCCCGTGCATTTTGTATAGATCCGTATTGCTGTGTACATAACATAAGCAGATAAATATATATTGAGATGGAAGAGTAAGTATTCTTAGGTTGATGAATGCCTTCCTAATTGGCTGCACACAACTCAGATCTGCGATGACTCTGATGCAGCGGCTTTGTAGTGCAAATACCATAGGTACATGTACAGAGTGACCCCAGTTCAAGAGTGCATATTACATTCTTGAGTGCATGTATCCATAATATGTGGTTAGCCACGTATGACCAGAAATACCGTTTTTTCTATTCTTAATTAAAAGAATGGTCTTGGATAGTTCCCTGAGCATATTGTTTACATGTCCCTCCCAAGTCATGCATTTATCAATACTGACACCCACTTACTGTGTCTTTGGTATTGATGTTATGGTGACACAAACTTATTACGATGGACAGTGTCTTTGAAGTATTAAGTGTCACTTTATTTGCAAAAACCCAATTTTCCAATTTTTTTTGTGTATAAATTATTCGCTGAATAAAGTAGATCAATCGATTTGAGTATCAAATGAAAGGGCTTGATGAGAGAAATACAATAAGAGAAGTGACGTCATTCTGAATCTAATTTGGCAGCCGTTAGACATCTACAAGTGTTTAACCAGTTAATCTTGACCAATTGAGCTAAGATTTTATATACGGGTTTGGTTTTCATGATAATATACAATAAATACAATCCAATATGGCGGATGCTACAAAATGATGATATATCATTTCCATAATAGCACCTGTGATACAGTTACCAAATAAGAAGGTTTGATGACTTGAATACTATCAGCAAGGCGGAGTTATTCCAAATTCGATGGCGGACGCCTCAAATTGCCGAATTACACCTTCTTCTTCTTTTGAACCAGTTAACCTTGATCAATTCAGCAGAAATTTTATATACAGGGCATCCCAAAGATAAGAGTGACACGGGAGGGAGATTGGCTTCAGATTAATCAGATAAAATCAACATGACCTCAGTAAAAGTTTTTTAGTTTCCAAGATATTGCCACTTTTAAGTTTTTTCTTACTTTTTTGCTTTTTGTCCGTTCTAACTTCTAACTTATTTTTTCCCTTAGCATCCATTAATAGTTGGTTGAGACAACTGAGTATTCATTTCATTGAAAACTAGTACGGTATGCTAAAAAAATAATTATTACATTTTGTTTCAATGTGAAAGCCTTCAAGTTTGATTAACTACTGTGAGAAAAAATGTAACATACTGAATTGGCAAATGATCTTAAAAAAACTAGCCTATTTAATGCTCTTTTAAAAATAGTATAACATTCATAGGTTCTTTCCACTAAAAATTGAATAATTCCAAGTGTTGTCATTGAAGTCGTAATACTACAAATAAAAAATAAGTGTATCCATATCACTAAGGAATGAAACGACCTAAACATGTCATTAGCTATCTCGCTCTCACATTCACTGTTCGGTCGGTAGCATTATGTCACTACGAGGAACTTTAAGCAAACCGTGCTAGTTTTCAATGAAATGAATACCATTAATGGTAACTCAGGAAAAAAAGCATAAGTTAGAAGTTCTCTACAGCCATAACAGGCAAAAAGTAGCAAAAAGTAGCATTTTTTTGAAAAAACTCAAAAGTGACAATATCTCGAAAACTAACGGGTGTTTTTTTTCGAGGTATAGAAGTTGGCATTACTTTGGAAGATGGCGACCGATTTGACAGCTGTCAAGTGATTTATTCTCAGTTTGGTTTGGCAATTCATCATGAATAGACTCACGCCTGAACAGCGCTTGCAAATTGTACAGTTTTATTTCGAAAATAATAGTTCCGTGCGGAATACGTATCGCGCACTACGTCCATTTTTTTCGTCGACAAAATCGTCCATCAGAGCAGTTAATTCGATTACCCATGGAACGTTTTCGCACCACGTTTACTCTAATTCATAACTCCCATTCCCAGAGACGCCGTACGGTGCGTACAGAAGAAGCTATTGCTACTGTAGAGCGTAGCATTGAGGAAGACCCGAATGAGTCCATCCGCCATCGAGCACAGGAATTGGATGTGTGTCCATCCACTTTGTGGAAGATTTTACGGAAAGATCTTGGTTTGCGTGCTTACAAAATCCAACTCGCGCAAGAATTGAAGCCAAACGATCATCAAGCAAGGCGTAGATTCGTTGAATGGGCCCAAAACGAGATTGCCGTTGTTCCCGATTTTCATAAGTTAACTTTGTTTAGCGATGAAGCGCACTTCTGGTTGAATCGCTACGCCAACAAACAAAACTCTCGCATTTGGAGTGAAGCTAATCCTCAAGTCTATGTCGAAACAAAGTTACATCCAGTAAAACTGACTGTTCGGTGCGCTTTATGGGCTGGTGGAATCATTGGTCCATACTTCTTCAAAAACGATGATGGCCAGAACGTTACAGTCAATGGTGATCGGTATAGAGCCATACTAACTTTTTTATTCCTGAATTGAACAACCATTATGTCCAGGAGCTGTGGTTCCAACAAGACGGCGCAACATGTGACGCAGCTCGTGCTACAATCGATTTATTGAAAGACACGTTTGTTGACCGCCTAATTTCACGTTTTGGACCTGTGAATTGGCCTCCAAGATCTTATGATTTAACAACGCTAGACTATTTTCTGTGGGACTATGTAAAGTCATTGGTCTATGCGGATAAGCCACAAACGCTTGACCATTTGGAAGACAACATTCGCCATGTTATTGCCGTTATACGGCCACAAATGTTGGAAAGGTCATCGAAAATTGGACGTCCAGATTGGACTACATCCGAGCCAGCCGTCGCAGTCATATGCCAGAAATCATATTTAAAATGTAATGCCACAAGATTATCTTTCGAATAAAAAAAATGCATGAAAATCTAATAATCCATCGTTGTTAATTTGCAATTTAAAGTTCTATACCTCTAAAAAACACCCATTAGAAAACTTTTACTAAAGTCATGTTGATTTTATCAAGCGTGCGATTTCTGGGAAACCCTTTATAAGGTTGGATCCAATGACTATACACAATAAATTAATTACCCTCATTTTAATCCAATGTGGCGAATGCTACATAGTGGCGATTTATTATTTCTGTAATAACACCTGTAACATGGATATCAAATGAAAGGGTTTCGTGAGTTGGATACCACCAAGGTGATTCAGCAGACGCAAATAAATCGCTGTGTCATAAAGGACTCGGTGCGATAGGCGTCATAAGCAGTAGCCTGCAGCCTGTCTAGGATCAGAAAAATTCCAAAATGTTAGGTCCAACCTGAAATACTAAGTGGCATACTTGATACAAGTGTAGTTCAGCTTAAAATAAGCGTCACATCAGGCGCTGATAAAGTTCCGCCTGGAATAATTGGCACAAATTCGCACAAACAAATTAACGTAAAGTCGTTATAAAACTAGTCAACTAGCGTAAATGCTAAAAACTTAAAAATAAATAATATAAAGAGGTACCTTTTGAAAAACAAGCTTTTATTTAGCTGTTAAAACGAACAAAAAATTTAGAAGATTTTTTTTCTGTCTATACAGGGTGTTTCAGTTTATTGTTGCATAACTTTAAGATTCGATAGAACTTTCAAAATTAATGCATAAAGTCTATATAAACATGGGTCGAAAAATGCGTGGCTTCCGAAATACAGGGTGTTTAAATTTACTTTCTAAAATAGTTTTTTTTTAAATATTTCGAACAATATTTGATGTATAACAGTGAAAATTGATATACAAGAGTTTTTTGGTACGACAAAACGAACCATGGGCATAGTTTTACTGTAGCCGCTAGAGGGCGCTCTCTACTGTGTATTAAAATGATCGAAAATTTTTTCTTAGTACAATTTTTTGCTTTTTGAATAAAAAACTGATTCATCGCACTTTTCAACATTAAAAAGCTCTCCTGTGAGTTATCGTTATAGTTAGCCGTTTTTGAGATATTTCGATTTTTAAGGTTCGATGCATTTTTAATTATGGGAAAATAATATTTTTTTTACATTTTCGATTTGGGCATTACAAATAATTAAGATGGTCGGTTAGATTGTGTTTTTAAACACAGCAAAAATTCCTAACTCCAAATAAACACAAAAAAAAACAGAATATTAACTTGTTTAATTTTCCAATATTATTTTTAACAAATTAAATCAATTATTTACAACTAAAATGCTATTGGATAGTTAGGACAAACATACAAAATCTAACGTAGTTGCTCGAAATGTAAACCCAATTGTTCAATACACAATTCAAAGAAATCTAATGGATTTAGGTCAGGGGATCGTGGAGGCCAGGCGACTGGTTCTCCACGGCCGAACCATCTTTCTGGATAATTTTCGTCCAGCCAGTTTCTAACTATTCTCGAATAATGAGCTGGACAACCATCAAGCTGGAACCAGGCCAATCTTCTTAAATCTAACAAAACATCATCCCACATATTTGCATGTTCACCCTTTAAAAATTCCAAGAAGGTCGCAGCATTTAACCTTGCAGGCAAAAGGTAGGGTCCAAATAGTCGATTACGGTAGATACCAATCCACACGTTCACACTTAATTCATGCTGAAAATTTCTTTCCCGAACTGCATACGGATTTTCATGCGACCAAATATGTTGATTATGAAAATTCACCACTCCACGTCCAGTGAAGCATGGCTCATTGGTCCATAAAACGTTACTTAAAAACTCCCTATTATTATCAGTTCTATCAAGAATCCACTGACAAAATGTGATTCTTCGTTCTCCGTCCCCTGGCTGTAGTCCTTGTACAGGTTGCAAATGGTAAGGATGTCTATGGTTCTAAGAACACGGTGAACATGACTTGCTGAAATTCCCAAGGCACCAGAAACTCTCCTAACACTTGTGGTCGGATCTCTATCAAACTCACGCAGAATCATACGGGTAAATCTGCGCTGACGAACACTTATGTTTTGATCCCTTTGGAGATTTCCAAAACCATTTTCAATTATTTGGCGATGCACTCTTACAAATACTGAGCGAGTTGGATATCGTCTGTTTGGAAATCTTTGTGCGTATTCACTGGCTGCTTCTGCTGCGTTTCCATTTACAAAGCCATACCCAAAATGAATATCCGCTAACTCTTGATTGGAGAATAAAAATGGCATTTTTACAAAACTTACAAAAAAATTAACAGGTAAAAGAAACTAAATTTCGTGCATTCATAATTGCAAAAAAACGTTTCAGGTTTCAACAGACAACAAAACTAACTGTCAACTAATTGACGTTTAACCTTATTCTGCTTTCAATTTCAAAAATATTTGCAGGCACAGCCTACTTCTAAAAATTATCGAGATACTAACTTTTTAACGTTATTTTATCATAAATAATTAAAAATGCATCGAACCTTAAAAATCGAAATATCGCAAAAACGGCTAACTATAACGAAAATTCACAAGAGAGCTTTTTTATGTTGAAAAGTGCGAAGAATCAGTTTTTTTATTCAAAAAGCAAAAAATTTTAATACACTACAGGTACAGTAGAGAGCGCCCTCTAGCGGCTACAGTAAAACTATGCCCATGGTTCGTTTTTTGTCGTACCAAAAAACCCTTGTATACCAATTTTCACTATTATACATCAAATATTGTTCTAAATATTTAAAAAAAACTATTTTAGAAAGTAAATTTAAACACCCTGTATTTCGGAAGCCACGCATTTTCGACCCATGTTTATATAGACTTTATGCATTAATTTTAAAAGTTCTATCGAATCTTAACACACAATAGTGAAACTCTAACTAAAAAACTAAAAATAGCGTACTACGTTTTAACATTAAGAGAAAGGAAGTATGTAACACGCTTTTGTTTGGAAACATAAGACTAAGGTGTTTCACTATTGTTTAAAGGTTAAGAAATATAAAACGACATATTTCCAGTCAGAAAAAAATCTGAATTCTTAGTTAGTTGTAACAGCTGAGGCCCGGTTTTTCAATATCAGGTTAACTTTCAAGACAGGTAACTATGACTTGGATTTAGCTACCAGTTACCTGTGAATTTGTTTTTCAAGTTGTAGTTAACAATCAATAAACCGTTGATGCTTTTATGCCTAAATTATCGTGTTCTATGCGTGGTGTTCGGTATTTTGTCATCCATGACAACTTACGTCACTGTTTCACCAGCTGAAATTGGCTACCACTTCAAGACAAACATGATACTGAAAAACTATTTTTGAAAGTTCTCTTCTGGTTAGTAGACAAGTAGCAGGTAGCTTACGGCCTAAGTGAAAGCATGTTTTAGAAAATGTATTTTTTGATGTTTTTATTATGCCAGACACATGGCTTAATTTCGAGACTCACCTCGGAAGGAAAAACAATGCTGCTCTTCAAACTATAAACGACAAGAGGCTTATCCAGCTGAATTCGGACAGCAGGTGTACACTGCACTAAATTATTCTTCTTCGTCTTCACAATCAGCACCGGCTTGTCCTTGGATGCATTCATGATTTGAACATCGTTGGACACGGCCTTCATGTCGTCCTTGGACATCAAAGTCATTGGGACGACAGAAAACTTGGTGGACACCGAATGCGGAACCTCAGCGAGGACTGTCATTGCTGCTGGAGGAGGTGCAGGTGCTGGAGCTTCGTACGTCACTGGGAGCCTGGACTCGAAGATTGAGTTGGCGAAAGGGGGTAGGAAAGAGGTGTGGGTGGGTAGGTAGGCATAGGGCTGGTAGAACTGGAAGAAGGGGTTGTACGTGTAAGAGAAGGCAAGTGAAATGCGGGTAAGGACTAAGAACGCCACTGGCTGTAACAAAAAAATGTCGTCAAGTAAGTTGCACTTTTTACGCAACACCGTTATCGTTTCGTAAAGGATTCTGATCATGTTGATACGATTAGACTATAGACATTCTTTCCCTGCCCTACCGTTATTCCATCGTTGTTTCTCCTCAATACCTAACCCGGTCAGGCGTGGCATACCTTACGAAATACTATGCTAACGTACAGCAGTAATACCAGGACAATTATCAGGACCGGCACGCCGCCGTGAGCAGAATCAGACGCGCACATTATACGTGGCTAGAATTACTGAAGTTGGGAGCGTATAAATGTACTAACATCAAAATATTGAGCATACCCTCACCACCCCCTACAACCCTAACCACCTATACGTCGGAATTTTTTTTTATGTATAACATACAGAAAAGATAGTATCTCAAACAAGATCAAAAGAAATGCAGTCATGCTTCCTAAGATGTCAGAAGATGCAAATGTTCAATAAATTATACAAAACTAACGAAAAAATAACAAAAAGTTTCAAGTATATTTCACGGAAACCTATGATTCACTTCTTAATTACAGCCATCTTTCCTTCACATCAAGAATAATGTCAAATATTACCCTGAAATGTACAATAGTTTTGTGAACACCAAACACAAATTAAAGGTGTGATGCTTTGGTTTTGGGCAATTCAAGGATATTTTGACGAAATTATGATTATATCAGCAAACATTATACCATCATTTCCTTTCAATAAAACCAGTAGCATTACATATTTGAAAGAGTCTATGGCCGAGTAGAATATCGATTTCCGTTATAGGTAAAGGATCCGGTTATTTTGAACAGTATCTGTGATAGTATAGCTAAATGAAATCACATATGTAACATATATATATTACTTTTCACTAACGTTTCATCCCTATAAAATTCACCTGGTACAAGAACTTAATGAAGACGATTTTGATCGGCGATTACAATTTTGTGAAGATATGAGTGAACGAATTACAAACGATGAACATTTTCTATTCAACACTTGCTCTCCGACGAATGTTCCTTTTTCTTAAATGGCGTAGTAAATCGTCATAACTGCCGATACTGGTCCGATTCTAATCCCAGAATTTATCATGAGGTTCATACACAGCAGCCACAAAAATTAAATATTTGGGCTGGTATTTTTGGCGATCATTTAGTTGGTCCTTTTTTCTTACCTGGAAATTTGACCAGTGAAATGTATTTGGAATTACTGGAAGACGCCATAGATCCTGCATTAACAGCCATAATTGAAAATCAGAATGATCGGCGGTACATTGCGAATAGGTTGATGTTCCAACAGGATGGTGCCCCACTACATTACGCATTACGTGTTCGACAATATTTAGATCAGACGTTTCCAGATCGATGGATTGGTAGAAAAGATTCCATTGAATGGCCCCCAAGATCGCCAGATTTATCACATTTGGATTTCTTTATGTGGCGTCATTTAAAAAGCAAAATCTATGCTACTCAACATTATAAGACCTGCGACAAAGAATTGTGAATGATTGCCTTCAAATTACTCCTCAAATATTGCAAAATGTGCGGCAACGTTTTGAGCAAAATCTTTATTATTGCATGGAGAGTCATGGTGGCCATTTTCAACATTTACTTGCCTAACGGGGTCAGTTCATTCTTCATTTTTAAATTACTTTGCTGCCAAATGTATTGATCTCCACTAATGATGTAATCGCTTTATTTAAGCTTTAAATCAATAAATCTTCAAAACTACTGAACTGAAGTATAGTACATAAATCATGGTAAAGGGAATTGAAAGACCTTTAAAATAAGGTATCACTCGACCCCCCTTTCCATTTGAGATTTTGGGCGTGGTGTCATCCCCGCCTAGGGGGTTGCACGTGCTAACGTGATTTTTTGCCAAACTTGTGTCCCCCTCGAAAACAAAATCGATGTGTCTGAGCGTTATTAAAAAAAAACTGAGCTGCTAGTAAATGCGTCTGTTTCGTTTTCGATGCGCCACCCTGTATAATCGTTAGTAGTGAAACATTCCGTACATAGCTCGGTTGAGAATGACATTACTGTCCTCGCATATCACAATAAAGTGCACTGCCAATAATTACACACCTCTCTACCAATGTACTATTATGCTTACCTGTCTTGCAGGTGACGGTTTTTTCTTTTTTTTTTCGCTAATATACTGAGTGTTGCGACAGCAAGAAGTGGGTATTTTGATACCTTACTATAACCAAAGTATTATAACTACTAAGACTCATCAACTAGCAAAAAACATGTTAAAATTAAAATGAGAGACCCGTGAAATACATAACTAAGCAAAATGAATATTTCCTCTCTCGTGATCAGGTTTCTCTTCTTATTGCCTGTTGGAGTCTCCAAATTAGGCATACTTACCGGTACGGGTATCACGTATCTTGGAAAGTGACATTATGCCGATTTTTTTTTACATTATGCTGTTTTGTTTGACATTATGTAGGTTATTCAACAAGTTATTAACTTAGCACTTAGTTGTACGTGTTGCCTTAACGTCATGAGGCTTCAGTTATCAATGTTTGGCTCTGATGTTATGTAAAATCAGCTTCAGAGATGGCGTTACTGGAGGTCTAAGCTGTAAGTTATATGTGTTGATGATAATAATTGCATTGGGTTCTTGTCTCAAATGCACTTAATTGAGATCCAACGCTAGCAATTAGTTGCGCATCCACTTTTTCTTATCCATTCTGGAAATTACATATACAAATTTGCTGAATTTCAAAAATGAGAAAGATAAGAAATAATTATATTAACTGTAAACTGTCGAATTACAAGCCATATACATGCTAACAATAATTACACACAACGTGGGCGCGGTGATGATTTCCCGTAATTCTCCTCAGTTTTTCGTAATTTATAACTTTGAACATAACCTCTCTTCAGAAAGCACAACATATAAATAACCCGTCATATTCAGCATATTCAGTAATGATTTTCTCACACAGCAAATATCCCTGATGTGATACACATGCAGACCAATACACATAATCACCCAGATGCGATCTTGCTATTCAACTAACTTTTTTCTCAGAGATAAAAACTACAGACCCGGATCACTCAGCCTTACAAAACTATGCAACCAATAATGCGTAGTTTAGTTGAGTGATTCGTCCATAGATGGACGTTCACAACGATCCTAGTGAGCAAACGTGAAATGACTGTTTGCGTCCTAAAATCTGCCTAGTCTGCAAGTTGACAACTTATAGTTTTTTTTACGTTTTATAGATTTTTTAGATGATACAGGTGCCGATATTACCCTATCGCCATTTTTGTAAACGAATGCACAAGTCCACAAAATAAAATAGTAGTATGTGCTGGGGGTCCCACATATATGTTTCCCACATACTTTTTCTCGCTGAACAGGAATTTGAAGTCAGAAATGGAGGCGATGGACAAATTTTAGAGAAAACGCATAAAAACGATGAAAATCATATCACAGGTCCACAAATAAATAAAAAGTGGTGTGAACTGGGGTATCACTATATTCTTGCCCGCTGAATACACATCTGAAGTCAAAATTGGAATCAATGGACAAATATGATAGTAATGTAGACATAAGTATTATTTTTTTTTTATTTTTGGAAGATGTGCATCTCTAAGGGATCTCCGAATTACTAGACATCTACCAAAAATAACAAGATATGTAATCTTAATGACTAAATTACATTCATATTCGTCCACCGTCTACTCCCAATGTTGACTTCAGATTCGTGTTCAGCAGGATAAATTACATGGGAAAACATAGTGACCCCACCATTTTCGTATTTTGTGGTTGGTTGTAATTTATTTATTGTTTAGATGTATTTTTAAGCTTGTAGATGATTTTGAATTACTTGTGCTTGCTAGCAGCTAACACCTACGCAACATAATGAAGAGGAGGTTGTTAAAAACATAACAATATGGCGGACTGTTTAGCTACGCATGCACACAAGTTTAAGCGATTCGAGCCAGAATAAAATTAGTTCTCTATCATTCTGGACCTCGATGATTCATTGACGCAGTAAGACTTCGACCTTAAAGCCGATGGCAGCAGGTTTCGAAAAATACCCTGGACAGCTGTTTCGTGCTATTTGGCAACTCTTCAGCATGGTCTCGGGTATCGGTGGACAACGAACGAAAGCTGAGCAACTCTATTCAGTGTATCAGGTCTATCAACATAAGACAGCATAAACTGACATAGACAAATCTATACGCAAGAGAAGTTTTGCAATAATTGAAACACTTTTCTACATCGAAACGTTACCATATACAAATGTGGTCCCGTTTTTCTTTATTGAAACGAATTAGGTATAATTTTGAACATATTTCAAGGAAGTAGTTTTGTAAATGTGTAGCTATTTTTGAATTATCATTCTGAATGAAGTTGTTGCTGTTTAATTGTGAATTTAATATAGTAAATAAGTATTGCATTATTTTTGTTACCCATATTTCAGAAAAAATGATGATTTCAGGAATATTCAGCTTTGTTGCAAAAATGCTTTGAACCATACAATTTTTCATCTACCTACCTCTTTCTTATACAGTTGTATGATATGTTAATCTAAAATGTTGCTCCGGATTGTCTAACATTGTATCTCTTACTATTTTCGTTAGGGATGAATTATCATCACAGTTTATCTAATTTTTCATTTTATCAGGTTTGATTCAATATTGTATCAAGATCGATATATGAAACAGAGCTAAGGACACAAACGTTCATTATTCAACTACTTTATTATTGTAATGCACAAACACAAATATAAAATTGCGGAAATTTAAAATTACGCGGCTTAAAAATCACTTCCTAATTCGATTTCATCTGTAACCTCATAGATTGCCAAAACAAGTATTTTGTTGTGGTACCATTTTAATAATAAAAAATAACTTTTCAATTCGTAATATTTATTTGTCCCGATTATAATCCCAAAATCCCGACTTTTTGAAATTTCGCCCAGATATTTCCCATCTGGTAATACTATGTCGGAGCCTATTGACAGTTCTGCGGGGAACATTTAGATGCGTCATTGCTTGGGCTGGATAAGCCTATACGAACTTCACTGTCCAAATATCACATCTAAACGACCATCACAATACCTACACACGCCAATTCAGTGGCTACTGGTACAGTATTCCACAAGGTTTGCCATATTTGCCAACGAAACGTTATACGAGCAAACATAACTGATAACATTGTCCTAATAATGTAAATGACGCAATAAAATCCGCTATGTCGCCTACTAAATATTCCCACACACTATGGCGATAACCCAAGAGGTGGAACGATGTTCATTGTTTCAGAACATCAACCTTCTGCTAAAAAAATGTACACAAGAATTCTAAAAATAAAACAAGAGAGATACATCTGTCACATGTCTGTAGTATAAGATTGTCACCAATCTATTTATTACCGGCAGAAGCTTCTGTTTCGGACCAAATCGGCCGTACTTTCGTGAAATCTCGGGTCACGTCCGGCTATACTAGGATTTTAATTTTTTTAGGTCTGATTTTACCAACAGGAGATCAAAAATTGATGATCCGGATCATAATAGACCAATGAGAAGGCACCTCTTTAGTAGTGGATCAAATCAATATATTCCATTTTAAAAATGTTAAATACACGATTTGTGTAAGAAGGGCCTCTAAAGGATAATTTTTTAATATTCCTCAATATGTCCATTGTTAAATTGCCGTCTAATGTTCTAAAACGTAGATATACAGGGTGGCGCATCGAAAACGAAACAGACGCATTTACTGGCAGCTCAGTTTTTTTTTTTTCGAAAAACGCTCAGACCCGTCGATTTTGTTTTCGAGGGGGATACAAGTTTGGCAAAAAATCACGTTAGCACGTGCAGCCCCCTAAGCGGGGGTGACACCAACCCTAAAATCTTAAATGGAAAGGGGGGTCGAGTGATACCTTATTTTAAAGTTCTTTCAATTCCCTTTATAATGATGTAAAATACATGAGCTCTAGTTCAGTAGTTTTGAAGATTTATTGATTTAAAGCTTAAATAAAACTAATACATCATCATTAGTGGAGATCAATACATTTGGCAGCAAAGTAATTTAAAAATGAAGAATGAACTGACCCGTTAGGGAAGTAAATGTTGAAAATGGCCACCATGATAAAATAAAGATTTTGCTCGAAACGTTGCCGCACATTTTGCAATATTTGAGGAGCAATTTGAAGGCACTCATTCACAATATTCTTTGTCGCAGGTCTTCTAATGATGTTGGCTGAGTAGCATAGAATCCAAAGGTGATAAATCTGGCGATCTTGGGGGCCATTCAATGGCACCTCTTCTACCAATCCATCGATCTGGAAACGTCTGACCTAAATATTGTCGAACACGTAATGCGTAATGTGGTGGGGCACCATCCTGTTGGAACATCAACCTATTCGCAATGAACCGCCGATCATTCTGATTTTCAATTATGGCTGTTAATGCAGGATCTGTGGCGTCTTCCAGTAATTCCAAATACATTTCGCCGGCCAAATTTCCAGGTAAGAAAAAAGGACCAACAAAATGATCGCCAACAATACCAGCCCAAACTTTTAATTTTTGTGGCTGCTGTGTATGAACCTCATGATAAATTCTGGGATTAGAATGGGACCAATATCGGCAGTTATGACGATTTACTACGCCATTTAAGAAAAAGGAACATTCGTCGGAAAAGCAAGTGTTGAATAGAAAGTGTTCATCGTTTATAATTCGTTCACTCATATCTTCACAAAATTGTAATCGCCGATCAAAATCGTCTTCATTAAATTCTTGTACCAGGTGAATTTTATACGGATGAAAACTATGGGCCTTTAGAATCCGTTGGACAGACCGTCGACTAACACCACACACAGTCTCCAATTTGCGGGTACTTAACGTAAAATCTACATAAACTACCTAAAACCCCCACTTCTGTTGCTTCGTTCCTTATGGGATTTTCAATGTTGCGTTTTTTATTGGCGACTGACCCAGTTTCCCAAATTTAGCTACAAGTTCTAGAACATATTTTCGATTCACGCTACTCTTCTCATGTCGCTCATTAAATATTTTTGCTGTTCTATTAGCGCACTGATTATTTCCGAAAACTATTTTGATAATATCAACTCTTTCTGCTGTGGAATATACCATGGTTAATTTATGTAATAAAGCGCTACAAGTTATATTAGCAACAAAGTTTGGTCAAATCAATCGCAAACAATGTACGAAATTCCTATTTAAAATAAGT